ATCAGCCTTGCCAGGTCTTAAATATGAAATGATCATACTGGAAACTCAAAATGATCACATTTGCTGGAAAAACCATGAAAAACATGCAGATAAGTCTGAGATATTTTATGTGGCTCACTGGTGAGAGCTGGGTTATCAAAGCGGAGTGTTTATTTTGAGGCAAGTGGTCATAAAGTGCTGGCTGAAAGCTGGAAAGTTGGTTAAGGCTTTGCAAGAGTGACTTGGGTTTTGCATATGTTGTATCAATTAGCTGGCCTGGAAATTCTCATTTATTTTGAACACTTTCTGTTGTTGGTCATCCCTTGTACAAGGGTTGAAATTATTGTACAAATACAGTCATTATTGTACATCCAGCAACGCTACTTGAGATCTCTCCAAGAGCCTTGTGAATGGTGTTAGCACTGGGTGGTAGCACAAGATAAACCCCAAAGCATCCAGTTGAGCTATCACATTAAAACCATTCTGCCCTGTTGGGGCTCTCTGAGCTGTTGGCAGTGGAAGAATTGCTCTAGGATTTTTCTGTGGGCAGAAACCAGGTGAAAACTAACAGCTGGTATCTTCCAAAAGGTACCCGAAGCCTAAAAAAAGCAGAGAAGGTTGGGTCTGAAGGAATATTCAATACCACTATTTGAAACTGCTTCTTCTATGGATACTCCAGCAGCTGCCAGTTTTCAGTCCCAGATGTTGCTACCTGAGCCCCAGCCAATGCCTTATTGTCACTATACTACACATGATAAACACCTGCTGTTGCTGCCTGTTGAAGAGTGCCAGTGTTAAAACATACAGGGATAGTAAGAAGTCAGTTGCGTTCTTAAAGGCCTTCTCGGCTTACCCCAAGGGCTTTGGTATTGTTAGAAAAAACAAAAAAAACCAAAACCCCCCACTTCAGGCTAGAAGTCAGCTAAGAGTGCTAGTAGCTGAAAGGTGGGACATTATGGTATGAGAATTATTCTGCTTAATTTGGGTTGTGTGGTGTTGTAGACAGCATGGCTTCAGAGTTGGTGCTTGCTTGTATCAAAATCAGGGAGCAGCACATCTTTTAGGTGATACATGCTGTTATATTGATACAGTTGAAAACGGAGGAGGTAGTACCTGCCCCCCTTCCTAACTGTGACTTGTAGGTCATGGAAGAAAGTTAAACACTGTGGTGCAGGAGAAGGTGTAAATAACTTGGTTAAAAATGTTGCAAGAGATGTGGCTTTTCTTCTGTCAAGACAAAGGTGGATGAACAGGTTTGACTAGTACCCTGGGTGAGGTTGGGGTTGAATTAAGAGGAGGGGGAAAAGTGCCCTTGCTTACATAATGAAAAGCTTTTGAATGCGTGTAAACTCAAATGCAGGAGTTACTGCATTGCTAGTGTTCCACATTCTCAGCTTGTATTTAAAATATACATAAAAATAAATTTAAAAATCTGGGAATTTTTTGGGAGTTCCCTTTGAAATATAAAAACCGGAATTAAATCAGGATAAAAGGAAGAAAAGGAAAAAAAAAAATCAGTTTAAATTGGGGAAAAATCAGCAGGGAGGGAGGAAGGCTAGGACAAGGGGGGGGTGAGGGGAGGGGCACTGCACAGCCTGTTGGCCACTCCTTGGGCTGACAGCAAGGACCAAAGGGGGGAGTTGTCAGTTGGTGTGAAGGGGGGTGGGGCGCAGCTCTTGCTGCTACACGCCCCCTGGGAGGGCTGTGTGCCTGTGTCACGGTCTTCCTGGGGTGGTGCATGCTCCTGGATCAGTGGCAGGAAGCACGTGGCACTGTTCCCTGCCTTTCTTCTCTGGCTGCGTTTGCACCCCTTCCCCCTGCAGCAGCAGCCTGCTGTCAGGCTGCCCTAGTGTTTGGGGGAAGGGGGGAGTGGCTCATGGCCAGATGTTGCGGGGAATGGGACCTGACCCTGGCACCTCGTGCCCTGCCTGGAGTCAGAGCCAGGAGCCCTGCACCCCCAGGCAACGGTTCTAACCCTGTGGGGTCATGCAGAGCAGCTGGGTGCAGCACCCACCGCAGGGAGTGGGACCAGACTCTCCCACCTGCCCTCCCCATGGGGTTTCCAGTGCCCAGGGCAGGCCTGAAGGATGATGAGGGGCATGAGCAGGGCTAGGGAGGAAGGCCTTTCAGTTTAATCATGGATTTGGGGGCATTGAAAAAAAATCAGAGAATTTGCAATTTTTTTTAAATCAAGGAAAGCCTGGTTATAAACAGTGTTGCAATACTGAAGTCTCCATTGTAAATGTAGCCTAGAGAAGTCCCCCATAAGTTGGGATAAATCCATCTACAGAAGTAAGTAGATTAAGAAAATACTCTTTCAACAAGAAAACTGTAAAGTATAACTAGATACAAAGGTATTGAACTGTAAACTACTAGATGATAAGGACCTGTTTACCCAGGCAAGTTAGTGCACATATGGCCTAGGGCGGTCAGCCTTTTTAAACTCAAGGCACCCCTCAGCAATGCAGTGTTCTGCATTCTCAGTTTATTGCTTTTCACTGATTTAAAAAAAAAAAAAAAGAAAGAAAAGAAAAATCAGGGAATTTAAGTCATTCATTTTTTACTGATTTACCCCTGTTTTTCAGTTTAAATCCCTGTTAACTGGCACGAGTGGGGAAGGCCCATTCCACACACCTGCCAGGTAACAGGGATTTGAACTGAAAAACAGGTGGTGCTAGTAAGCTAAGAGTGCTGCTGTGCCCAGTTACTCAAGGCACAGGTTTCAAGCCAGATGTGGTGGAGGTGGTGGCAGCGGCTGCCTACCGAGCAGGGGCCGGGGCGGTGGGGGTGGCTGTGCAAGAGCAGGTGGCAGTTCTGTGCTGCCACTCCCACTGCTGCTGCACGGGCAGGGGATGCATTGCTAGCGCACCATGGAGCTCGCAGTGGTGAGCAGCTTCCTGCGCAGCCCTGCTCTGCAGCTCCTGGTTACACCCACCAGACCGTGGAGCCCCCTGGGGATGGCAGCTGGGCAGGGAGCAGGCAGAGTGCACCCACCCCCACCCTGTACACAAATCTGGGGGACACAGTTCCCCCCTCCCCCTTGCGAACAGCAGTGGAGAACCAGCCACATGCATGCTGGTGCCCCCCCCCCAGCCACCCATGGCTCAGTCCTGCTCCTGCCAGGGCCCTGTGGCTGCATATTGCAGCCCCAAAGCCCATGCACTGCCCAATTCCCTCCCTCCCTATGGTGGGCTTCCATCCCCTCCCCTGCCCCACACTGACCTGTGTGAGCTGCTGTCCAGGCTGCCTGCTGGTCATGTGCATATATATATAAATGGCACCCACTCCCACTAGCCCCCTGCAGGTTGGAACTCTGCCAGCCTGCAGAGAGAGCTCTTTGCAAAAGAGCGAAATCTGCATTTTACTTTGGTAAAGGGGGAAATCTGCAATTTGCTCCACTTTTCCATAGGAAATGGAAAACCCGGATCCCTTCTGATAACTTTCAGGCATTCTGCTACTCAGTGGAATTTCTAAGCCCAAGTTAGATGCCAGGACCCATTTGGGGGAGAGGAAGGGAGTATTACCTAAGAATAGGATCCTCAAAAACCAGTAGACTGAGTAGGAATTGCAGAAGCTAGCTATTAAAAATACTGATGGGTAAGGTATGGTTTAAGGCCTGTTCTTCAAGAGAGCTTATGTACCTCCTTTAGTTTAAATTAAGTGCATCTCTGTGCTCACTGTTCACAAAAATGAACCTTCTCAAGCTAGATACTTGAGCCAGGTCAGTTGTTTGTTTTGCAACTTAAAACCAGGAGGAGGTGGTGCTCTTAGCCCTTTATCGAGTAGGCTAAAACTAGGGCACTCTCCAGGGGCACGGGGCATTTTAAGTTGAGGTCCTTCTGCCTGATTTGAAGCATTAATTTGAACTGGTGTCTCATCTCGAGTAGTGCTGGAACTGCTGAGTTATATGTTTTGTAGTGTGTCTTTGTCTGTTGTTGCGAAGCAGAGCCAGTTTGTATAGTTTATATAACTGAAGCAGACTTAACCCTAATTGCATCCAACAGGACAGTGAAATAAGCCCACCCTGGAATATACTATAGGCCAGCAGTTAGGGCAGTTTCCTGGGCTGTGGAAAACCTGGATTAAAATTCCTGCTCTGAATCAAGCAGAAGGCAGACCTGACCATGGGGTCAGCCAAGTTGTCTAGCCAGTGAAATAGTTGAAGCAAATTGGGGTTCTACCCTTACCTTGTGCTTTGCTACCACCAACAGATCTTGGGCAAAGCAGGTGAGATAAGTGAGGGAATGTGCTATCAGCCCCTATGGGACTTTGGTGCATCATGGACATGAACTGCTGTCCTGTCATCAAGACTTCGAATAGTTCTGTGCAAGTGCAGTATATAGAGATTTGAATCTTAATTTTAAAATTCCAACTGGTAGTGATGAGTACTGAAGGTCTTGGGAATCTAATTCCTGCTTCTTCCCACATTGCTTTTAGCACTTTCTATATCAAGAATAAACCTACAGTTTCATACATAGTTCTTCTACACTGGGTGCTCTCAAACTAAATAAATAAATAAAACAGATTTGTTTTTCCTAAAGCAGCACTTGTATAGTAGTTTCCTGGGAAAAATAGTGGTGTGTGCTCAGATCAAAAGTATATACAATACTTACTGATGAGTTTTGTCTCTCTCTACCCTTTTAAGAGTTTGCTCTCCAAAGCTCAAGGAATGGGCTCTAGCTCAGTTAAGCTCCGTGTTGGATCTCTCTTCATGAATGTTGGGAAATCAGAAAAACATGATCCTGATATCAGACGGACGCCTCATGTGAACATTAATCCTTTCACTCCTGACTCTCTGTTCCTTCACACTTCAGAAGGACAAAGTCGCAGAAGAAAAAGAACATACTGGAATGAGTGAGTTGCTCAAATCCCTTCTGTTACTTAAGATTGTTTTAATTTTTTTGTTGTAAAAGTTGTTGTTGGCAAAAGAGGTATGTTAAATGTATTCAGAAGCTACATTTTCTTAATAGTGCTAGTCAGTTTCAAGGTGAGTAACTGCCAGAAATATGTTTTGAGTTGGTCTGTGCTACAGTGGGCATGTACCAGCAGTAATGTAACTGGGGGCAGGGGGGGCAACGGATTACTGGGGCAACAGTCCTGGGTGCCACATTTTATTGAGGGAAGGGCCACTGGCAGTTCATCTGCAGCCAGCACCATGTGATGTGCCAAAGCTGCTGCTGTTCCTCTGTGTACCAGTCCTTGGATCAGAAGCCAGTTACGTTTTATCTTCATCTAGAATCATAGAACTATAGAAAGTTAAGGTTGGAAGGGACCTCAGGAGGTCATCTAGTCTAACCTCCTGCTTAAAGCAGGACCAGCCCCAACTAGATCATTGCAGCCAAAGCTTTGTCTAGCCAGTTCTTAAACACCTCCAAGGATGAAGATTCCACTGCCTCTGGGTAACTTTTTCCAGTGTTCTACTACCTTCCTAGTGAGAAAATTTGTCCTAATATCTAACCTAAACTTCCCTTGCTGCAACTTGACTGTTGCTCCTTGTTCTCTTACCTGCCACCACTGAGAACAGTCTAGCTCCATCTTCTTTTTAACCCCCCTTCAGGTAGTTGAAGACTGCTATTGAGTCTCCTCCTCTTCTCTAGACTAAATAAGCCCAGTTCCCCCAGTCTTTCCTCATAAGCAGGGAACCTCATTTTTCCTGATCTAAAAAAATTGCAAATTCTCTGGCTTAAAAAGTTGCAAAATCCATAATTAAAATGAAAGCCCCCCTCCCCCCGCCTTGCTGGAGGGGGTCCCCAGCTGCCAGACCTATGGGGCCAGGGACCCAGGTCCATAGCCCCCTGCCCCTGACAGAAGGCAGCTGCTGCAGGAGAAGGAGCCTGTCATGTCCTGTGTCATCATTGTCCATCTGTCCCTCCCACAACCACCTGGTTGGAGCAGGGGTTGGGCTGGCTCCAGCCTGCAGCACACACTCCTGGGGGGCAGGCAGGGACTGGTGACACTTCCCTTGTGCACATGGGCAGCAGTGAGGGGCACAACCCAACGCCACTGCTCACACAAGCAGCGGAAGTGTTGCCAGGGCAGCGCGGAGCTCACAGGGGCAAGCAGCTTTCCTGCGCAGCCCTGCTACACCAGGTTGCCCGTGCTGCGCTACGGAGGGCAGGGAGCATGAGCCTGCAGCGCACACCCACCCCACTCCCTGCACAGACCTGGGGGGCATGAGTCCCCCCTGCCCACTGGGAGTGCGTGCTATGGCAGGGAGACAGTCCTGCCCCCAAACAAGCCACCTATGGCCTTGTCCTGCCTCCTGCCCAGGTTCTGAGGCCGCACATGCTGCCCAACAGGGTAGCAGCCCTAGCCTTGCCCAACTCCCTTCCTATGGGGGCCTCAATCCCTCCCTTCCCCCCACACGCACACTTACCTACAGGAGCTGCTGTGCAGGCTGCCTAAGGCCTACTGCCTGACCACCCTGATCCTGCTCCCTCAATGCAAAACTACAAAATCCATGGGTTTCTCTGCTAAAATGAGAAATCTACCATTTACTCTAGTAAAGGGGGAAATCCATGGTTTACTCTGTTTTGTTTTGTTTTTTCCTATGGGAAAACCCAAATTCCTGCTCATAAGTAGTGTCCCCCAGCCCCTTCACTTTTGTTGCCCTCTGCTGGAAATATTCAATAGGGCAAAGTGTCTTTCTTTTAATAGCTTTATATAGTAAACTTGGCTTCTGCTTGTCTTACTCTAGTTGTTGAAAGAAACAGTTTAAGAGGCTCAATAATGAATGTACTTTTATATTTAAAATAATATTTTCAGCTCTTGTGGGGAGGACATGGAAGCAAGTGATTGTGAACTTGAGGATGAAACTATCAGGCCTGCTAAGGTAACACACTTTTTACTACATTTGCATTTAGTTTGGTAATATGTGTATCTGGACTTCTCAATCTTTCCTCTTTTAATCATTGCAGAGAATCACAATTACAGAAAGTAATATGAAGTCACGGTATGCAACAGAATTTCATGAGTTGGAGAAGATTGGGTCTGGAGAATTTGGTTCTGTGTTTAAATGTGTAAAAAGGCTGGATGGCTGTATCTACGCTATAAAACGGTCCAAGAAGCCGTTGGCTGGCTCAGTTGATGAGTGAGTGTCTTATTTCAAGAAAATGTTGCTGCCTATTTTGCTGAACTATTTTGGTAGTTCTTTATGCTGTTTTACTCCTACATGACATCTGTATGCACACATTCAAAATGAGCATAGACTCAAAAATATTTTCTTGCTTTAGAGCTAACATTTTAAAATAGAAATTACTTTGTTTTCACTACGCTTAAAGATTAGGTCTCATGCTGTATGTCAAAATCTGGGACAAGATAGGTTTTAGTCCCATGTCTGGCATAGGTATCCTTCTCTTGAGCAAGTTACTCAACCTGTAAAATGGGGATAATGCTTGCTCATTAATCAAGGAAGTTTTTAGTTCTACTTGATGTCTGTAAAGCACATTGATCTTTTGAAAACAAAACATTGTAAAAATGTAAAATGTTCAAGCAAATATCCTATGTGTAACTTGAATGATGTATAAACTACCGTATTTCACAGTGTATAAGTTGAGTTATGAAGGTGGAGAGGCTCCTCAATGGGAAGGATCATCCCCCGTACCCTTGTGTTGTTTTTTTTAAGAGGGCTCCTGAAGTCAGCAGGACATCTGGTGCCACTGAGGAAGGGGCTGGTGTGCCCCATGGGCAGCACAGGTTGTCAGGTTGGGGGAAGAGGCCTGCCAGACATGGGGCATGCTGGCCCCTTCCCAGGCAGCCCCAAATGCTCTGCCAGCCCCAGGAGCCTACTGAAGGTAGACATGGTGAGGGGCCTCTATCCTGCTTTCAGTAGTCTGCCCACCTGCCCCACAGCCAGGTGGTGAGCTCAGGCAGCCCCTGAGCTACTTCAGAGGGGAAAGGGTCCTTCCCTCAGCGGTGGTGCCCTCTGGGCCTGGCTGGGTGGGCCAGGTGCTGCCTGAGCTCACAGGGCCCAGTACAACTTGCTAGGAGCCCACTAGCATGTCGCCTTTCCCATGAGCCTGCCTGGGCTTCCAGTGCCCCCACAGGTGGGGTTGATTTTGTACAATGGATCTACAAAAATCCTACCTTATTTTTGTACAGAAACATGGGGTTGACTTATGCAGTTTGTTGTCCTATATGCTGTAAAATACGGTAATTGAAGAGGTGGCTTCCCTTTCTGCTGTTTGTGCACAGTTCACAGGATTGATTTAAATATAGAGCTTATTGAAATGTAAACTTGCACTAGTGCATGTAAGCATCAGAACATAATTATTTTTATGTAGCCTCTACATGCTTCATTTCTTTCTTCTAAAATTTACCATTTGGGTTAAAAAAAGAAAAA